TTATTTTTTTTAAAATTTTTAATTTTTACCCTTAAGAATTAAGATATATATTAAAAAAACACTTATTATTATTATTAACTAAAGTCTGTCGGTTCTGTAGAGTAAAATAAATAAAGGCGATTAAAGTCTATTGGTCCTGTAGAATAAAATAAATGAATAATTGAATGGTCCGTTTCAGTTCAATGATATTGGACCTTGGGTTGGAACTATTTACCTCTGTGAGTGGCGTATTTAAACCCCATGAAACTCATTTACCCCCTCCCTGTGTATGTATATATATATATATAAATAATGTCAAATTGTTTAAAAAAAAAAAGTAATTTGAGAATGTTTTAGGCAAAAACCCATGTTAAGCCCCTTAACTTTTTCAACAGTTAGTGATAAGCCCCTAAACTAAAAACATGGTAGACAAACCCTCAAATCCCACGTAAGGAGCAAATTACACGTAGGAGCAAATTAGCCTCTCCAGTCCACTAACTGAGATCTATCACGCTGTTAGTGTAATGGCTTGCGTGGCCTTTGACATCCAACTGGCTCCAACATGGCTTCAACGTGGCACCAACCTCTTCTCCATTTTCCTGGCTCCTCCCACTGTCCGTCTCCGAACCAACGTTGAAGATGATGCACATGACCTTGTACTGGGGCAAACAAGTCAGCCTCTTTGACTCCTGGAGTACACACAGACTCCAGGCACCGTCTTTCCATTCCCAAGCTTAACATCAGTAGGGAAATCTCTATCAATAGTTCCAGCACCGACAGTTGTGACCCATGGAGCAATATTGGTCACCTTTAGTCCACCAGGACCGCCATTCCCGGCAAAAGCAGATACAAAAATCCCTCGATCATTTGCACCAAAAGCGCTAATCGAAATCGCATCGAGATAATACAGCAGGACAACACCACCCACGCTGAGCGAAATAACATCGACTCCGTCAACAACGGCGGCGTCAAACGCTGCCAGAATATCAGAATCATAGCAACCTGAATTCCAACACACCTTATAAGCGGCGAGACCCGCTTTCGGCGCCATACCTGCAGCCACCGCTTTAGCATACCCCATTGTGGAAGAATAGGTAGCCAACAGTAAAAATTGTTAATTATTAATTTATAAATTTTTGAGTCCCACTTTCGGCGCCATACTTGCAGCCACCGCTTTAGCATACCCCATCGTGGAAGAATAGGTAGCCAACAATAAAAATTATTAATTATTAATTTATAAATTTTTATCACAATTTTTATTGAATGGCCGATATTTGGTAAGGTCTTGGGAACCACCAGCACGGTGCTCGGTGTTATTGCTGGATCGAGTGTCGTTTTGCTCACTATCAACGCCGTTTTGGCCAAGCTCTTCGATCGGGTTTTCTCTGGCATAGGAATTCAAGATTTCTTTGCTTGAGTTGCTAAGGACCAATGGGAAACTGGCACCTGGCTATCCAAATATCATAGGCTGGACCTTAATCTTGCAGTTTGCCTAATTTCTTCTCCAAAGCGTGTTTGGTTACCCAACTTTGTTAGGAAATTTTTTTATTGGGGAAGTTCATTAAAAAATATTATATAAAAAATTAATAAATTTTGTAGATAAATCTTGTTAAAATTTTATTAATTTGTTAATTTTTTTATATTTACTAGAAATACTAATACGAAAAATTATTCAGTAAATTCAATATAAAAAATAAAAGAGAAATTTTGCTTTTTAAAAAATTGTGATAAAAATTTACATCCTCGCACCGGAAGAATAGGTTGCCAACAGTTAGCCTGGCAACAATGGCGAAAAACGCGCCTCCGTTGAACGACATGATGGCAAGCATCAAGAGGTATCCGATTGCGGAGTTGGCTCCAAAAAGCATAGCCAAATGCGACTTTAGCGAGCTTGAAGCAGAGGGTTCTGGGGAGAAGAGGGGTGGCGGCGGAGATGGGGTTGGTGGAGATGAGGGATTTGAAGCAGATTCAACGATCTTCCATGTATTCCCACCAGTGGACCTTGATGCCACGTTGAAGCCACGTTGGAGCCATGTTGGAGCCACCTTGAAGCCACTTGGATGTCAAATGCCACGCAAGCCATTACACTAACGGCGTGACAGAGCTCAGTTAGTAGATGGGCTAATTTGCTCCTTACTTGGGGTTTGAGGGCTTGTCTGCCACCTTTTTTGTTCAGGGGCTTATCACTTACTTTCGAAAAAGTTGAGGGGCTTAACATGAATTTTTGCCAATGTTTTAATGAGTTAGTGGTCACTAATCCTTTGTCAGTACCTCTCGTGTAAGACTTTGGATTCTCATCCAACGTAAAAAAATAAAAAAATAAAAAAAAAATGAAGGCAATTTGACCCAGAACGAAATCGGGACCAAATTGACATTGAAATCAGGTTGCGATCCTTATGTTCGCAAAATCGAGAATGCCAGAACCGATTCTGTAGGCCAAAAACTGGCAAACACTTTCTAATTTTATATAAGTTTGTTGATTTAAAAGTATAAATTAAAAATATAATGAATATATATTTTTATAATTAATTTATATAACAACTTATAAAAATTAATATATATTTTAATATTATTAATACATAAATAATTTTAATTAATTGATTAAAATAAAATTAATATTTGTATTTTTAATAAA